TTTTTTCACCTCATAATTTCATGATATTAGATGAGATGAATATCTAGAACTAAATATCTAAATTTTGGATATTTTCAAAAGGATTGTTATAAACCACATGTTGGATGGACTCCATAACCGTGGACCCTATGCATATTCTAGAAGGCCCATGTCCATGTCCTAGAAGGCCCATGCCCATGTTCTTGAAGATTCTCCTTATGACGGCCTATATTGTACTTAGTGGGCTTTTGGGCTTTAGGGTTTACTAGCCCAATGGGGATTTGTCTCCCCTCATCATGTATATATATGTATCGAAATCTCATTCATTAATCAATAGAACAACACAGTTTACAACACGTTATCAGCACGACTTGCTCTTAACGAAAACCCTAAAACCCTAACCCTAAAAATCGTGGCACTGTTCATCGCCGACACTGTTCATCTCGGTACTGTTCATCGCCGTACTGTTCATTGCCGACACTGTTCATCGCCGACACTGTTCATCGCGGCACTGTTCATCGCGGTACTGTTCATCGCGGTACTGTTCATCGCGGCACTGTTCATCGCGGTACTGTTCATCGTGGTACTGTTTGCGGTTCGTTGCAGCAGCGTGAGTTACCGAGGTCTTTAGCTCCCGGTTCTAGTCCATACAACCCCATAAGGTGAAAGGTAACATCAAAACCCTAAAGCTAAAGAACCAACAATTGAACTTGAAAGTTAAGCAAAGAGAAACCCTAAAACGAATGATGATTGATTAAGTGATTGCTTTGCTTGTATGATTTGATTGCTTGTTTGATCCGATTGCTTGTTTGCTCGATTGTTTGACTCGTTTAGGTTGCTAGAAAAAGTTGATTATCGCTTAAGCTAAACTCGCCTAAGTTGCTAGAGAAGTTTTAATTGTCTAAACCTAAAATCGCAAAACGAAAATACATAAGCTAATAACCGAAACTTTAAAGGTCTAAAAACCTAAAACCTCAAACGAATCTAATCCAAAAAAATTCCATAAGTTTAAATCGGCTTGATTGAGATTGTTTAGGTTGTTAGATTGTTTGCTCCTGTGATTGATTACATGCTTAACACCACTAAACTAAAATTGCATGAACCCTAGAAGACTTAGAAAAGATTATCCTCAAAGAAATCTCAAAACCCTAAAACCTA